CGCGTGGTTGGCGGCGTCGCGCGCGGGGCCTCCTCTTGCGGCGCAGCGGCCGCGGTCTCTGGTGGTGCCGCACCCGTCGGAGCTGGCCAGATCTGGCGCCGGCGGCCCGGCGGGTGGCGGGGGCTGCGGGCGGCCTGGACCACGGGCGACCTCCCCTGCCGTGGCCGGCGGCTGGCGGGGCAGGTGGCGTGGCGGCGGGGCCTCAAGTTTGGGCGAGGTCATCGGCGCGCCGGTGCGTGGAGTTGCGGGGGCGGCGAGCGGCTGGTGCGGGCGGTCATGGCGGCGGGCGGCTCTGGCGTGGCGGCAGGGGCGACGAAGCAGGGCGTCGGTGGCGGGCTCCGGTGGCCTTGGCCGGCTCCTGGCTTGGCGCTGAGGTGGTGCGGGTCGCGGGCGACATGGATCTGTGGGCGGCCGCCCCTGCCCTGGCTTCGGGCGGGTGGGGGTGACGGCGCAGTGGTGGTGGCTGGCGGGGCGTGTTGGTCGAGTCTGCGTCAGATCCTCCCTGGTCTGGCGCTCGGACGTCGACGGACGGCGCGAGGAGGCATCTCCGAGGAGCTTCCATGGCTGCAGCTGCGGGTTGATTTGGTCTCCCTCGTCGGCGGGCTCACGGTTGCCGATGGCCTCGCGGAGATGTGTGTCAGCTACCATGGTGGGGCGACATGGGGGTCCTCCTTCTCCCCCTTTCCCCGTGTTCGGCGGGGAGCTTGGTTGGAGGGATGGGTGGCCTCGATGCGGTCGCGTCACCTGTCGCCGGCACGATTTGCCGGTCCGGATTCGTCCGCTCCCCCTTTCTCCCCCTTTCCTCGGCCGTGGGCGGGTCGGCACAGGTTACCAGCGGAGCGTCGGCGGGTGGTTCCGTCGGTCGAGGGCCATCGGTTGGTCCAAAGTTGGGGCCTTGTGTTGGTCTCGGGGTTGTCTGGTTGCAGGGCGACGGCTCTGGCGGCGGGAGGCGCGACGTTCGTGGGCGGAGCGTGCGTCTTAGGTGCGGGCTAGCAAACATGGCCGCGTGGGTGGCGTGGTTGCGGGCGGACGACGAAGTTCAGGCTCGTCGGTGGGGTGTGAGCGCCGGGGTACACCACCTGTCCAGTCCTTTGACTGGCCGACGGTGGCGGTGGCCGTTGCCGTCGTACCCTTCCTGAAGGCTCCGTCGCGGCATTCACACTCTTGTCGTCTTGCTCCGGGTGAAAACCTGATCTCCGCTGATCGGGCGGTGGTGGCTACCCATGGTCGTATCCTTCTTGGAGGCACCGCTTTGGAGGCCTGGCTTCGTTTTGGTCCGGTTCACCTCTCTATTGGTTGTCGGTGGGGTGGTGTGTCGGTGCCTGGCACCTTTGTATCTTGCCTTGGGTGTGTGCGGTGTGTGCGTTGTTCGATATCTCGGATGTACTCGGTGATGTTTGCTTTATAATATAAAGCGGGGGGAAACCCTTTTTCGGTATATACTCCTGTATATTGTAGTCAGTCAATCAAGCAGATACTATGAGTGGTCTATTGCGAAATTTGATTTCCAAGATAGAGACAGTGTGTCACGATGAGAGTGCAAGATTAGACGGATGCACACATGCATTAATTGGGAAAATATGTGCCTCCTTAAGTTGACTAGGGAGTTTCATATTTTTCTTAGCATGTGCGTATGGTCGAGCTGAGTGCAGTGTATTTCCACCGAGTTTGTGTACTTTGCGCTCTGTCAAAAAAAAAGCAGCTGTGTCCGTTAAGTGTTGTGTACCAAACTTTCAGTACTATCTTTCATGCACAACATATTCAAATTCAGCTAAAAACATTTCAAATACTCACATGAGAAGTTAAACAGGGAGTGCTCCCAAATGGGAACGTTGCGGTAAAGAGGATAAAGAGCAGTCATTCAATCAAGGAGACGTTGTTTTATCGTGAAGTTGATAGCCTGTTGAATATTGAACACGAAAATGTTGTACGGTTTCTTGGCTTCTGTGCTAGCACAGATCAGATAGCGTTACGAATTGAAGGATTAAAAGAGCATATTTACGCCGAGGTACGAGAAAGACTACTCTGTTTTGAGTATATTAGCAACGGAAGCCTGAGAAAATATATTACCGGTACGTCCTTCGTGCATGTGATACAACTCTTGTCTTTACTTATTTGTCATTTTCCTTTTTAATGTATATTAGACACGTTTTACCCACACTCCAGAAGTGAAATAGACTGGAACAATGTCAAGGTTCGTTGATTGTGCAATCTAGCATGCATCAATTTAATGTTTTGAAACTTTCATGGCTCAATGCTACTTTTCGATTATGCAGATGAATTACGGGGACTAGAATGGAACACACGTTATAAAATAATTATTGGCATTTGTGAAGGTTTGTATCATCTGCACAAGGAAAAGCAAATATTTCATATGGATATGAAACCTGATAATATACTACTTGACAATGATATGGTGCCGAAAATCACTGATTTCGGTTTATCGAGACTTGATGAAATGACGCAAACCGTGAGTAAAGACCGTCTTGGATCACAGTAAGTGCATCAAGTAGCTGACTATTGTCATTTCATCTCTCATTTTCTGAGCTATAATCCATTGAAGTATTGGCCCTCAATGTAGAGGATATTGTGCTCCTGAATACTGGAGCCAGGGAAAGATGTCTTTCAAATCAGACATGTACGGTTTAGGCGTTATAATTATTGAACTAGTGACTGGACAAAAGGCGCTCCCCATTAGCAATAACAAGGTAAGAGGGTTTTATTTCACCATGCGGGCAATCTATTTTAAGAAGTACCCTAACTTCCGAAAGTGCATTTTGTTACCAGTTTTACTAATCCTACTTGCATTGGATGGCATGCATGTCTAGTTAAATAATACTCCCTCCGTCCTAAAAGTTAGTACAAAGTTAAGACACTTATTTTGGGACAGACGGAATACATAATGGAAGAGAGAATATAAGCTATGCGATGATCTTCCTCGAAAACATATGCAGCACAGGGAAGTTAACTCTTTAGGAAATGGTGATATTAAGTTACATTTTACTCGTATGACCATTTCAGAATCGATCAAGGTGGATAATAGCGTGATGGCCCGAGACATTTATGTTTTGTGAGAGAAGTCCACTTTTCAACCCTCAACTAACCACATTGTTTAAGTTTCAACTCTGAACCAAAAAACCGGTTAGTGCACACCCCAACTTTCAATACCATTCACAACACACACCCCTCTCTCCGTTTCACTGCCTTTGACCATTTCTTTGACCTGGTTTCAGTGCTGCTGCCTGCTGTTTGATGCGTTCGGCTGCTGCTCGTAGCTGTGTGCTGCTCTCTCCGCCGCCGCTGCTTGCTGCTGGGGAGAGAGGAAGCACGAGCACGCAGGGTAGCATGCATAGGAGCACGCACGCACGCACGCACACCAGCAGAGCAAGCACAGGAGCTTCTCCTGTCCACCCACGAGCATGCACAGCGGTGACTTGCAGCTGCGGCGTCACGGTAGTAGCTGAGGCTAGTCATAGTGGGAGTAACTTAGATAGTAACATAACACATCCCAAGACATATATGCTTATATGGCATGGAGTTAATGAGGAGAGAGGTGTTTGTGGTAACATGATATGCTACCGTAACATAACACACCCAATGCAAAATGAGTCTACAACATAATAAATAAAGGCTTGCATAATACTACACTTATGTTACTACCCACTATGATGATAGTAGCATAGACTAGTAACATATGCATGTTACTAGTCTAAGTTACTACCCACTATGACTAGCCTGAGAAACAGAAGACGGAGCTCCTTGAAAAGAGGAGAGCGAGGGACGGGGCTGACATGGCAGGCCTGACTGGGTAGTCAACACGGGGAAACCGGTCACGTGAGTAAAAACAGCTATTAGGGTTGAGTCCTAAAGATAGTGGTAAAACAACGGTTGAATGTGGGCTTCTCTCTATTTTAGAGCATGTTCGGATCCCATATCCACTCCTTCAAATCCTTGATTCCACTTCCTGCTCCTGGACTGATGACCTCTCCTGCCAGAATAGGAGTTGATAACACGTTCAGCAACTGAATTCACACCATACACGACCAGAAGGGTGCAAGGAACAGAGGTAGTGGGTGGTTCCGGCCGGAAGGGTGCAGGGAACAGCTCTACTGGGTGGCGTCGGCATGGCGCTATGGTTGAATGGTCGGGCAGTCACACACACACACACACACACACACACAGAGGGGTCACAGGGAGTCGCCCACGAAGCTAGGTATTAGCCTCTCCGTCGGATAGTGCTACATTGGCTTCGCTCCACTCTTCCTGCTCCGAGGAGCTGTAGCGTTCGGTGCCACTCCGCCCGCTGCGCAAGCGGAGTTCCGGAGCAGAGTGAATCCAAACAGGCCCTTAGACTAGGCATAGTGAAGAGTAACTTAGACTAGTAATATAAACGCTACCCTAGGCTATGTTATTACTTCCATAGTACGTAGTAACACATGTCTGGTGTCATGCAAAGCTTTATTTATTAGGTTATAGACTCATATTGTCTTGGGATATGTGATGTTACGGTAACTAGCTAAGTTACATAATTTTCTTCTCTCCTCATTAACTCATTGCCACATAAGCAAATTTGCTAAGTTGGACCCGATTTTACTCTTGAAGTTACTCCCACTATGGCCAGTCTTAGACATGTGGCCCTGGGTTAGTGGCAACTCTCTCCCTGAGTTCCAGGACTCCATCGTCCACTCTCTCTCTCTCTCTCTCTGTCTCTCTCTCTCTATAAATTGTACTCCCTCCATATCATAATATAAGACTATTTTTTACACTGTACTATATAACATGGTAGTTGCATCTGACATAGGCAGGCTTATGAAATTCCCACACACAGGATTTATGCACAAGGAAAATTACTATGAGGGTTCTTTTCCTCCAAGGAAACATAAGTTGTGGCCTTGTAGGCGTTGTTTGTTCTGATTTTTACAAGATCACGTCGACAGGGTAGGGATCTCCTCCACATTCGTCTATAGAAAGGCTCGCCCAGTTACGGGAAAAATACCAGGCCACATTCGTGGTTGATTGAAGGACAACTGTGCAAAACCTCGAAAATTGAGACAAATCGCCACTTCCTAAAATAAGAGACAAATCACCTAGCTAAATTAGGCCAGGAGCTCTAGCAAATAGCAACACCTAGAACACGATGCCAGCTTGTTTGAATCACCCACACTCTCTTAAAGTTGAAAACCCTGTCACCGGCCAAAGCTGACCGCTGAAAGTTGATCGTCATGCCAGTAGCAGTGATGGACTGATGGTACCTCAAAACACTTGGGTATGATCACTGCTGGCATAGACATACTATTGAATCTTATCGTTTCACGTTGAGCCGCACATTACCATCCTGCTGAACTTTGGGGAGGGGCTGGCCACACGAATGGCCATCTCTTGTGCTGGATCGTACATCTCCAACATGGTATATGACGATGGTAGCAGGGGGAGAAGGCCCCCGCTGATGCCCAAGTTGATGTCCACATGCTTTTGGGTGAGCCTGCCCCAGATCTGGCGTCTTTGGCATTGGGATCCACAATGGCTGCGTGATGCGCATGATGATGGTGATGACAGTGGACAAGTGACGGTTGCTGCTCGTCCTCAAGGTTGTGTGTGTGCTGGTGGCAAGACTGTGGACCGGTGTCACGGTGTTCCCGGTCTGCAGACAGCCACGGCACAACTACGACGGTGTGCGCACATGCTAGGTGGTTCATGAGATTTTTTTTTGTAATTAAATACTACTCACGGATGTGTTTGCTCCGTCGATGATGAAACAGTTCGCGCTAATGTTTAATCACACTGGTGGGAGCAAAAACCGCCAGTAGCTGGGTTTAGGCGCCCATCAGCAAGTATGAATCTATACTAGTGAGTATTAACAAATTCTTATATCCAATACAGTCTGGTAAGTGCTAAGTTCGTGTTTGAGAACTCTAGCGCTTGGTGTTGTACTAGCACGACAAGTATTATTGGGAGGCGCAGATGCTAAGCAAGGTTGTATTAGAGTCAATTCGCCGTCTACGGTTTGGACAAAGTCAATCCATGCCGATGTGTCTTAGTAGTGTCCGTTTGTAGTGCTGATTGAGTCTAGTACTCCCATTTGGTGTAGGAGTTTAATTTTGAGTTGAACCATCATAATACCGTGTGCAACATGCTGTTGTTGCTGCGCGGCAGCTTGAGGCGGTGGCTCGAGCGCACTTGTTGCTGCCGTCGCCCGCATCTCCTGGAGGGAGGTAAGGCGTGGTAATGGTGATCTTCTGCTTGGGCTCGGGCGCTAGGTCAGGTGGCGCCATGAATCTGGCGAACATGCTGCTGGGCGGTCATCGGCCGCGGTGGTCACCTGAGAGGATTAAACCTGTATGATCTACGTCCATAGGTGAGGATGACAAGATAGTGGCTGCGAGTGGTGCTGTCGTCTCATGCAGATCAGCCTTGGCTGCCACTTGTGAGGATGGTGCAGGCCTCCAGAGTGTCCCAAAATTGGGATATGGCGGTGCCGCTGTCCTTTCTCCTCGCCGAAACTTCTTCAGGTGGTAGCGAGTAGCTCTTCTCGAGTCTCGTCGGCCTACCTGTATGGCCGTGGTCATTGCTCGTCGTAAGGAGGCAAGTGGCACGTATGCAACTATTGGGACAGAGGCAAGTGGAGGAGACAACACTATTTGACTTTGATTGGGCGGGTGAAAACCATGATCTGACCTTTGGTGGCTGGATCCGGCGATGGCGACGCATTTACGTCGTTCCCTTCTTGGAGGCATCGCTTTTGAAGAACCCTTCTTGTAGTCTTCGTGTTGTCATGAGATGGTTGGCGCTGATGGTCACTGCTATATTTCGTCAATTGTTGTTTTTATTTCATTTCTCTCTCCGTCCAGGCATTGTTTTGGTCTTGTATGACTTTGCTTTTTGCCGGCGTGATCATTTTGTGTGTGTGTGTGTGTCGTGTTGGCTGTGTGCATCCTAATTATGCAGAGGCCGGGTGTGTATTCATTATGATTGTATCCCTCGATGCTATATTATGAGTCAAATAAAGACACCCTTTATCGAAAAAAAAATACCGTGTGCAACACTAATGGTGAGCTGAACCAACCATATTTGAGAAAAACAAGCCACCACCAACGTCCCACCACGAGGTTCAACCTTTGTTGACGGCCGGCACCACCACCCCCACCGCAACAACTATGGCCTTAGGGCATCTCCAACCGCGCCCCCAAGAAGGCCTCCCCAGGCGATTTTTTCGCGCCGGCGCCGAAAAAACGGCCCAGTCGCGCCCCCAGGACGCCGAAAATCGCCGGCTTGGGCCGAAAACAGCGCCGGCGGACCCAGCCCGAACCCGGCGCGCTGGGGGGCGCCCGGGGGCGCCGGGGCGAGTTGTTTTGGCGCGAAGAAGTCACGGGCCAGCCGCGTCAGCGACTCGGCGCCTCGTCTTCCCCCAACGGCCTCAGTTTCCGCGGGGAATCAATGGCAAGGCTGCCGCCGGTCAGCCTTGCCATTGATTCCTTCACGGGCGGCGCTTCACGGGGCGGCGCCGACGCCTCCCCTCCCTCACACGCGTACACACGGCGCGGCCCGGCTATAAAAGCCGGCGGCATCCACTCCACTCTCCTGTGCCCACACCAGCCCCGCCCCGCCCCTCGCCGCCGTCCATCCCCTCCCTCTCCCTGCCTCTCCCGCGCACCGTCGCCGTCGCCATGGCAAAACGCTTCCCCGAGGATGAGGCGGCGGCCAACGGCTTCGGCCGCCGTTCACTCCGCCTTCTGGAGTCCTGGCTCCTGTTCTAGGCGAACATCCCGGCGCCGCCGGACATGCGCGCCGGGCCATCGGGATGGAGGCTCAGCGCCGGGGGAGTGCCCATTCCCCCGTTGCCCGACGCCGCGGCGAAGCCGGAGTACTTCGCCGAGGAGGTCGAGATCGTCCGCGCGTCCCTCACCGACGCCCAACGCTCCCTCCCCCAGTACGCCGCCGACAACCACGCCGCCTGGGCGGCGTATTTCGAGCGCCGCCAGCAGCAGCGTCTTGCGTCCACCAACGGCGCGCCGGTGGTCGGCGGGCGGCAGAACAGCGAGGGGCGCCACCTCTGGTGGGGCGTCCCCGGCCGCACACTCGAGGGCGTGCTCACGCACCTCGAGGGCGGGGAGGACCCGCCGTTGGCATACCCCCGGCGACGCACCGGCGCGGCGGGACATGGGCGCCAAGGAGGTTCGGGTCTTCTTCCTCCTCTTCCTCCTCCCGATCCTCCTCGCACTCCTCCGGCACTCCGGCCCTGCTCGCCGTCAAGGCCGAGCCTGCGGCGGAGTCGCTGCTCGGTCGGCGCACTCGCAGCGCCGGCATCGTCATCAACGAGGGCGGCCGGCGCGCTTCTTCCTCGGCTCCATCGCGCTTCGTCAAGCCGAAGACGGAGCCGGGACTGGCTCCGGTGAAGACGGAGCCGGGTCTGGCGCTGGCGAAGGCGGAGCTCGTCGACGACGACGCGGCCCTGGAATGGGCCCGCCAGGACTCCATTGCGATGGAGAAGGCGCGCCGGGAGAAGGCGAAGGAGTGCCAGCGCGCCGCCCTGCGCCGCTTCGAGGAGCGCCGACGCGGCCGTGACGAAGACGGAGTCGTCGTCCTATGCGTCAGCGACGACGACGACGCGCCGCCGCCAGTCCACCATGGCGACGTCGGGTCCAGCCGGGGCGTCCGCGTCAAGGAGGAGAAGGTCGACGACGACGATGGCAGCGACGGCGGCGACGACTTCAGCCCCTTTCTTTTTTAGATTAGCTTAATAATGGAATGAAAATGGGCGAATTTGGCCGAAATTCGCCATGTTCAGACGAAATTTAACTACTCTTTGTCATAACTTCGCCGAACGGGCCCTCCTTTTTTTTTTACACTCGCCTGTAGGCGGCCCTGGGGGTCGACGGCTGGGCGATGACTCGCCCCCAGGGCCTTTTTTTTCGCCGGCTCACCCCCAGGCGGCGCTTTTAGACGCCCCCTGGGGGGCCAACGGCTGGAGATGCCCTTAGCCTCCAGCGGAAGTTATGATCATTAACATTCTGCAGCGTCCCTGTATAGAAGTGAGATAGACAGGTCGCAAGTAGTAGGAGGCAGGTGCTGCAAAAGCATAAAATGGTTATTCAGATGAAGCAATCAGGACATTATGAATCTGTGGCAAGCTTCAGACATGTCCTATGCATAGTTAGTGTCATTGTTCTGCTTCAGCCATCATGGTTTTCAAAGCCACCATGCATGTCCGGCGTCTACTCTACTCTGGACAGCTTATTATGAGAGAGCTTTTGCAAACCGTAATGCTCTTTTGAGAATGGAGATGCTACAACGTGGTTCCCAATGCTTCAACTACCACTTTAAAAACTTCCAGATTTCTTATATAAACCAACAATATCCAGAAGCTGGAATCAATACCCACACATTCTCTATGCGATAATGTGCGAGCACCTCATCTAAACATTTTGTCTTATTCTATATATGTCATCTTTTGTGGAATGACAGGTACTTAGGAGATGGAGACACAGATGGAGGAAAACAGGGAAGGAAACAGAGTTGGTTTACCAGCAAGTAGCAAAATGCATCGAAATTGGGTTACTTTGCAAGGAAATTGACCCATCCAAACGGCCTTTTATATGGGATATCATGGATGATATCAGACAAATGGAAGGTGTTAATGGTTCAATCAGAAATGACTCTGAATATAAGTTTGGACAGGCAAGCTCTTATGCTCCCTCAGACGTATTAGTTAGCTATGGACTACTCTTCGAGAGCAGCTAAATGGCTCCCAAGCTCATCTGCTCATGCCTGTGTATAGTAAAAAGAATACTAGGAAAAAAAAACTGATTTCTTTTGCATTGAAGATGTTTGCGTGAGGTTCCTGCCAATTTTCGCGTGTTAAGACACCTGAGTAGCTCTCAACAAAAAAAATGGGGTATGTGAAAAAGGTTATTGTTCAGACCGATTTTTTTCCTAAGAGCCACTCAGATGTCCTAACGCATTGAAATTTGCATAGATCTCACGCACTCAAACATCTTCCATGCATTTTTTGGACTTTTTTTTATTGTAGTGTTCATCGAGATCAGATGAGCTCGGATGTAGAAATGGATACTCGCTATTCCCCAGCTATCTTGTTCTTATGTTATACACAATGGTGGAGCTACAGTCCGGCCAGCCTGGGCGGCTGCTTGGGATCTGGCGTGGATCCTCAATTCAATCCAGTGCCAGAAATGAAGAACTAATAAATATTTTCAATGTGAAAATTGGCAAGAAGCCTTCGTGCTTTGCCATGGCTCTTTCACCGAGTTGGCTCCTTCACTAGTTATGCAATACATATGTCATTTGTCCCAAAAAATATAACATATTTGTTCTGCTCTTTGTTTGCAGGTAAGCGCCTACTCGGAGGATGACGATATGCTTGGAATTGAGCCGCTCGAACTACATTTTCCTTTTCGGCTTAACAAACAGATGTCATGCGCCATTCAGCTAACCAATGAGACAGGCTCTTACATTGCCTTCAACGTCGAACATATGAACCCCCTATCATACTGTGCACAGCCGCAGAAAGACATTATGCCACCACGATCCAAGTGTAATGTCAAAATAACAAGGCAACCGCAGGCCAAGGCACCAAGAGATTGTACCAGCGAATTCACTGTTTGGAGCACCAAAGTAAATGATTGCCTTTCAGTTGAGGATATAACTGCAAACATGTTCAATAATGAGGCGGTCAACATAGTGGATGACGTGAATTTGGATGTGGTTTTTGACGTCAGTGAGGAAATCAATGTGGTGAGTTTTCTAAGAATACTAACTTGCAATACTTTGTCTATTCAATTAGTGCCCAGTGCAAATGATCTTTATTGTAGGTAGAGTGCGAAATTGATAGACGTCCAGAGCAAAATATACTATGTAGTTGAACTGAACGTTGTCGTTTTGTGAATGAAATTACGGAGCGATTGCTTTCTTCAACAAATAAAAGACGTCCAAATCAAGCATATTTTAAATTATATTAATACGGAGTACCACAATGTAATCAGCAGATTAGGTTGGCTTGCAAATCTTTTCCTTTTTATTTTCATATAGTATTGAATCAACAATAAAAAAATAACTGTTGTTGAGAAGTCAGAATTTTGTTTGTTGACAAGTCTCACCAATTGTGTCCCTGTGCGTGCGTGTGCATCAGCACGTGATACAGCCACCGAGACGGAGGTGAGATCGCTAAACTAAGAAAGAGAACTTAGTTGCAAAAACTATGTCTAGTTAATATTCGGCTAGTACAAATGAAACTTGTGTGTAATGAATAATGGTGCAAGTAAGAGTAACGGCATGGCAGAAATTTAATTAATACAAATGGCGGAAAGGGCAACGATGCATAAGAGATCTAATATTTCGCATAAACAATCTCTCGCTAAGCCAGGATAAGCGAACTATTGGTTACCAGGTAGTTTTCATCTTTGTTTGACCAATACATACCATATAATACAACGGAAAGAAAACGTTCATTTGTATATGATCGTGAATATGACTCCACTGCTCATCTGTCTACTTGTATATGACTTACAAAGCTATGTCTATTTGATTTTTGTTTCGCACAAATAATTGTTTATTCTATAGTTGATTCTTGGATAATTCATATAAACATCTCGCATCAAGTCATTATTTTCCAACTTGATTTCAATACCACAATGTAAGCAATAGTCATGTTATGTTTTCTTCGAAAAGGGGATTACCCGGCCTCCCCATCACAAGGATGCACAAAGCCATATTATTAAGGTAAACATTTCGGGACGGAGCGCCGGCTAAACTTTGCACCGGTCGCGCACGCCATGCGTCCCAGTGAAGCAGCAAAAGCGGGGCCGCTTGTCTCTCTCACCTTATCTTTTTCTCCTCTAGCCTTATCTCTTCTTCTCAACCACACTTTCTCTCTGGTAGCAAACTAGCAATTGCATCGTCTTCCTTTCCCCACTTAGAACAAGCGAGCGGGCCTGCTGTCTCTGGATCCTATCATGTGGCCGCCATGGAGAAGCTTCGTCCTCTCAATCTCGCCTCGTCCTCTCATGCTCTCTCCCCCCGCAGCAGCCATGGCCTTGCCTTCTCCACCGCTTGTGAATCGCCGCCGCGGAACAACTCCGAGCCTGCTGCGTTGAGCACCTCCATAGCCACCACAAAAACCACGAGCTCACTGCTGGGCATGGCCGACGGCTGCA